GACCCTGAGCCACAAAACCCAGTTAACAAGTGTTGATATGGGTTGAGAGCTTCTAAGCGCCTCAAAGTTTAAAGCACCAAAAGTTCAAGACGCCTTCGTCTCCCCAAAGCCCAGACAGTTTAATTACTGAAGCCCAAACAAAACCCGAACGCTGAAATCCCAACCGAAAGCCGCTCCTCCCCCGATAAAGCCTTCAAGAGCTTCTTGCTGGATCCCCCCCGAAGCTATGCGAGGCCTCAGTGATCCTTTTACCACCTCGCCTGCAGCTTTGTTCAGTGCCTGAGGCCACTGCGGCTGAGGGTTCCGTTAGGGATATAATGTAGTAGCTTAAGTGATTGCCAATGCTAGTCTCTCAAAATCTATCTAAACATCTATCTATCTCTGTATATCTATCTGCCTGTGGTATCATGTCCCTCAGATGCGGTTTAGGGTTTTAGGCTTACATTACCGAAGTATAGGCCACCTGTTGGCAATAGAAGGCTGTCAACTTGAGCGGTGTCGAAACAAGTCGTGGAACAGGACATGGAACATGAAATGAAAACCTGCCTTGTAAGGGTCTATATGGGGATCGTCCTAAATTACTGTCAATACGGGGTCCTGTATTTGGGTTCCTATTATAATACGGGTCCCTATATAAATTTCCCATTTTGGGAACAGTAGTTTAGGGAAACCTTCATATGGTTATCCCAAACCCTATAGCCTAATTTTCACATGACCGGGTTGATTCCGAATTAAGGCTAAAAACCCGGCCCTTGTCTGCAAGGTCTAAAGTTCAGATGTACAGGCCGCCTGGCCAGGTAGCAGCATCGAAATTGAAATAGGGGTTTCCCAAAATTAGGGGTACCTTATTGGGGGTCCCCATAATAAGGATTATAGTATATTGGGGTCTATATTGGGGTCCCCTAATTTTAGGAAACTACCAAATAGTTGATAATCACACGCAAAACACAACGGCGCATGACATGGAAAGTGTGCTTACATAGGTGTCTGTAAGGATGCTGCGATGTAAGGATTCTGCGATGTAGAAACCTAAAACAAATCCAGCATGGTTCCCTAAGAACCCTTCTATGAATACTTCCCACAGAGGAAGGGTCTTCTTTTTGTCAGGGTTGGCGGGGTCTGAGTCCAGTCGAAGCAGCCTAAACCTCCCTAAATCCAAAGCTTCATACCAACCTCTCTGCTGTACTGTCCTTAGGAATTGGTTCTATTTTATTTTTTTAGTATAGTACAAGGAATTGGTTCTATTGTTTTTTTAGTATAGTACAAAGATATTAGAAAAATATGTAGGTCTGAGGAAGCTGCAGTCTGTAAGGTTCCATTACTTGTTTGAGGCGGTCAGAAGGCACCTGGGTGAACCCGGAAGTGCAGCCAGATTCAATGCTTAGGGTTACGGGTTTAGGCCTAATACTAAATTGTAAATCCTCGCAAGCCTTTATGCTGAAGATTCCGAACACAGAAAAAATGTATTAGGAAAATATTCAATCTTAGTGGAGTTGCATGTTTCAATGTAAGGGGAGGTGACTACCCCCTCCCCAAACCCTAAAACCTTAACCCTAAACCCCTAATTCCCTATAGGGTTAAGCTAAAAACTCTAAACCCTAAACCCTAAACCCTAGTCCTTTGCGGCCAGGGTGGGGCCCCGGCACCAACGGACTCGAGGATGGAGGTGCCAAAGACAAGTTTTCCGCGGGACGGCAAGGTCGTAGGATTCTGGGCATTTGGAGGGGCAAGGGTCTCAGGGTTGTGTGTCAGGGTTTCAGGGTTTGGGGGTTCAGGGTTTTGGGGCTTTAGGGTTTTGGATTAATGTTTTTAGGGTGTAGGGGCTATGCGGGCTTTAAGCCTGAAGCGCAATTACATGTAGAACGCCATCCGGGCACCACATGCTTTTTTGGTTTATACGTTTCTGATCCGAAATTGCAACATGACGAAGTTCTGAGGAATTCTTGAGCCGAAATCAACACATTACCGTCAATGATGGAACCTGGAAGGTCCAGTTGGATGCAGGCTTCATGCCTCAGGCGTTCAAGGCGACACTCCCTGTTCGGAATAGCCCTCATGTGTTTCCCAGTGCGTATGCATCTCCAGCGTGGACAGTTGTGGGTGCAGTCTCAGCAACTTCCGAAGCTTCTACTATGATTGCTCCTGGCATTATTGCTGCAGCTTCTGCCGAAGCTGCCACTGCCACGGCTGCTGCAAGTACTGCTAGAACCATGCACCGCTGCCGCCACAAGCACAGAAATCACAACCACCAGCACTGCAAGCAAGAACCATGCTGTCGGTTGCTGTCTCATGTTGCATTTTGGCATTCGCATGTACCTGGGGTACTTAAACATGATGCAGCCAGGTGGCACTTTTGAAGCGCGGGGACACCTTCGGCTGGCATCGGCAGCACAAGGCACGTTGCAGGAGCCATACCTGAAAGTTTCATATACCTATATAGTATATACTTTAGGCGCAAAGGGTTCCTCTGTTGGTACGCTGGGGCTGCATAATTTGCTAGATAGGTACATGGACCCTTTGGGATAGTTTGTCCAAAGCTATTTGGCTTGAAGAGATTTTTCATTTCACAGCTCATGTAGGACGTTCGGCTGCGCACCAAGGGGCACCAAGGGACTTGCCAAACTAATCGTTCAGAATGTCATGACACAGGAGTCACCTTATAAATACCTAAAACCCTATACCCTGCCCAGTGTCGGTGATGCTTAACTTTATGTCTAGAAGTATCTCCCGCCTATGAAAATAGGTACCTCAAAAAATGGGTGCCAGAGGCCCAGCACAGCCTTTGTGAGGTATGATCAACATTCCGAAAATGGGATTGTAGAAGGATTGTTTTGGCTTAGCCGGATGCATCCAAAAACAGGATCGTACAGGGTGCCCATTAGCGGGTTTTAGAAGGCATTTGGTACTTTCCCAAAATAGGGGGACCCCAATATAGACTCAAAAATGCCATGATCCTTATTTGGGACCCCCAAAATGGTACCCCTAATTATGGGAAACCCCCATTTGATGTCCTGCAACCTATTGGACGTCCGAGCCCTAACCATCCCCGTTGCCCGTATTATAATAGGCTACATATTGGGGTTATGTAGGGGTTATATAGGGATAATGGGAAAGAAAATGGAAACTACTATGTTAGAATACAGTATCTATGGGGTTACTATGCCATGGTACTCGCAGAAGCCAGACAGGAAGTGCCAGCATAGTCTCCACGCTACTCGATTCATCATAAACATGTCTTATTGTCATCATGGACTGCAAGTGTAAAGCAAATAGAAAAAACATGGCAGGTCTGCATTGTAGTAGAACCTTCATGAGGCAGAGAAGCTCATATTTCCACCGGTTAGGCTCGGCACTCTGCAGGATAAAGCCAGAACAGTCAGTGAGTCAGGTGATGAAGGTAAGATGGAACTATTTTTAATACACGTAAGTGCACCTAGATTTCGGAAATTGTTATCATGGCGATCGACGTAGAGTTGCATGGGCCTTTGGTGTGCAACAAAGCCGTCAACGGGCCTTGCCATTTCGTGCCTGCGGTGTTGTTCGTATACCTAAGCCAGAGCCATGCAACCCAAGTGGGATGGCTAGGCACCGGTATACTTGCAATTACCGCAGCAACTGCAGTCTATGCTGCCGCTGAGTCTTCCCATTGGTTGGCTAGGATGCCAAGAGATGAAATCCGTGCTCTGACAGGCAATTTCTGCCGCGCCGTCATACTGGCAAGAGCTGCCATCCAATCGGCAATCAAAGCCGTCATAGCTGCCATGGAAAACGGCAATCAACGCCGTGATAAAGAGTTTGTGCAGCCTTGCTATGCTGTCAAGACCCACCATCAAAACGCAGTCAGCGCTGTGATGGAGAGTTTGCGCCACGTCGTTGTGCAGGATGTGGGCAAGTTTCCACGTAGATCTGGGTCGCCAAAGAAGGGCTGCAAGAAGACACGGTCTAAACTTATCATACGATTGTCACGCGTCAGAATTTCGCGACGTGACTCTTCAAAGATATTCTCCCATATGATCGTTTAAATTTGGCCACTTAGGTGAAGGAAGCGGGCTGTCAGCGAGAATTCCGTGCGATAGCAACCCTGCTGCTGCCCCTTCTTGCTGCCAAACCGCGCGATGGTCCGCTGATCTTTTGGAGCGGCCAATCCGCAAAAGAACAAGCCGAGACCTACCGAGGAACCAGTCTTGAAAAAAAAGATTTGGAATCTTTTTTGGATGTTTTTCACGATTCTCTGAGTTGCTACAACTGGGAGGCCCAACAAAATTTTTGGCAAACGATCAGCACGGCCTTCGCTGCAAATGCTAGTCGCCAACCTGGCTTTGACGCTGTGGTCTTTATTGGAAAAGAAGAAAAACATACCATCTTTCAGCGCTGCGAGCTTCCGGAGCTGTGCAAAGCAGGCGTGGTCCCGCAGTTCATGGTGGTTCCAGAAGTTTGCGAGGCTAACTCTTTGGACGCAGCGCAAATGGCGTTGGGGAAGTACCGGCTTGCCCTTGCTTCTCCGGAATGGGCACGATTGTTGTGGGACTTGTGCAGAGGCGTAAGTGTTCTCTGAGCAAAATTATCAGCTGCAGCATGCTGGCATCAAGTACAAACAGAAAACTCCACGAGGAGCAACTACATAGCCCCAACTGGCTTAATTAGGTGCCTGCTTTTTCCTACGAGTTCAGTAGCAGTAACGTAGTGACAGCTCAGCGAGATGAAGCGGAAAGTATAATGGCAACAGTGGAAGACTCGATTGGCTGCGCGGCTGTTGATATTTTAGCCCAAAATGTGGCAGCTCATTTTAGGGTCCTTCCCCTTGCAGTCACAGTTAGCACCATAGGTAAAGGAGTTGCAAATAGCCCTGAGTAAGACCCTTGAAAAGACATCTGCGGGTGCGGACAATGACCAAGCGTGCACCGAAACTGAGCCGTGTTATTGCAATTTTCTTGTCCTTTCCCCCATACATACATAATCACTGTGCATCCCCTATATACCCCGTTGTTTCCACCAAAAAGGCGGATCTATCCGATGAAGAGATCCTCCTCCAGGAGCAACGTGACCTTGGATTCCGACAGAGGGCCCAGTACCCTTCAAGCTAGGACTTGACTATACCCTAAAAATATAAGGGGGTTTCCAAGGAGGTCCCCATGATAAGGCCGACGGCACTTCGGGGTCCAGATTGGCTCCCCAACTTATGGAAGCTACTACAGTATCATTGTGGGTATATTCCGTAACCAAGGGGTACTTGGCTCCCTGTTGTTTTTCATGTTGGTTCCTTAAAAAAGCATGGCGAACACCCAGCCGCAAGCCTGAAAGATGTTGGAGTTGGGTTTGCAAGATTAGGGTGGGGTTTAGGTTTTAGGGGTTTAGGCGATTTTAAGGTGTAGGGTTTAGGTTTGAACTCTGAACTAAAAACCTTTTATCCACCTTAATTCCAAATACCAAGTTCATGAGATAGGTCCACAAATTAGCCGTCACGGCTATCAAACTGTGGGTGGTTGGGGTTGCGGGTAAGCCCTGTGTGGAGTTTGTCACCCTAATGGAGCATGGTGGGTTGATCACGGCACGGTCCCATGGCGGTCCCATGTTGCATAAAAAATTATGCCCTGCGCTTGTGACTTCCAACGCGGGGCTGGTAGGGCCCTTAGGCGAGTACCAATATTATGCTTCTGGGTTCCGTGTATAAGTATGGTATAGGGTACTAGGCTTCTACACTTCTACACAACTTTACAATACAACATCCTTATACGCCCCTATGTAATCCCCAGTTTCCATGAGCTTAGCATGCTCTTTTCCGGTTGGATTCTCCATTTTTTTGATTATTTAGTGCAGCTTACCAAAGTCTCACAACACGTAGCCAACGAGCAAAATGAAGCATGAACGCCAGAGAGCAATACATCGCTTTATTTGCTTGCCTGCATGTCTTAAATGGCATATTAAGTCCAGTTTGATTTCATCCCACTCCGTGAGGGAACCTCACGCATGTTGCCTCCCATATTCTCAAAAACCTACACCTGAAATCGTATACCTAAGGCCCTACGTGTGGTATCTTCTGTAGTTCTTTCCCCAGGAGACATGGGACAATTGCTCGCCGGAGGTGGTGCGGAACACAGAGCAATATCTGGTAAGTTCTCAAAACGATGTTTGGTTTGAGGTTTGGTGCTGGTGAGGGATGTGGCAGTTTCAAAACAACCCCTTTACAATCCTGAAGGTGCATCCCTGTTTCGCACCTGTATACCCTATCCTCCTAAGGTCCCTGAGAGACCCACTTCTTGGAACATGTGTTGTTGTAGGACTGCTTGCAGCATGTAGGTCTCACAGTGAAGCTGCAATTCGACTAGGATCTTGGGGTATGTTGCGGCAAAACCGGTGCAGGCGGACAAGGCCATAACTGATTCCAAAGTTGTCAGATTTTACATTGCAGCGGCAGCCCCCCCGATACAAGGGGGACCTCTTCTTTTCGAGACGCCCCTACGTGCTATAGTTTCTGTTGATGATCCAGGTAGTTGCCGCGAACCAGCCACTGAAGTTCGCCAAGCTCATGGAGGACGCGCAGCTCAGAGTTCACCATTGTTGCGGGCGTAGTTAACAAGCACCACTCCCGCGTCCGCGCTGAACCTCTGATACTTACCGTCAAATGTTCTTGCTACAATGGTGACTATTTATTACACTGGCATTCTTGTTGCTAGTAGTGTTCTAAGTATCATTGTCGTGAGGGGTCGCACCGCCTCGGGTTTAGGGTTTGGGGGATTCCATTACGGATTAATATCCTCAATGGGGTGTGACAACGTTAGTCATGCAGACTGCTGCTACTTATTGGGTTAATTTTACAAAAAGATGGTAGCCTTCTGGACAAAAGGTCATTTCCCTAGTTTCCAAATTCTGGCTTCTTTCCTGTTGGTACAATATGGACTCCACTATCAGGAGGGTATACTGGAGAACCCAATCCCCAAACCCTGAACTTTGAGAAAGCCTGACAACAGAGCCACTTACACCGCGGGCTTCTCGTCTTCAGCTTAAAACCATCTTCCTTTAAACGATCCTCAAGGAAGCACTGGTTCAAAATGTGTAGATACCTGGAAATTCTCCCAAGATTCTCTAATCCTCCCTAGTACTCCCTAAGACTCCCAAGGTCCCCCTTCTGAAGATTTTTCACTTCACCTAGTGCCGGCTTGCATCAACTTTTTGGTGACCTAGCTGGCAATGGCTTATCAGGGGGGGAGTAAGGTCCCACAATAAATCAAAACCATCTATCTACCTAGACCCTCCATGTACGCACAAACCGGAGCTATAGGATCCCCAATTGCGAGCAAGTAGGTTCATAGAGGGTAGATGAAACAGTCTTGGTACATACTTCGTGAGTGACTTAGCTTATGCATCAAAACCTCGCAAACGCAAGGCTCTAAACCCTAAACACTTAACCCTAAGCCCTGAACCCTGATTTTGGCAACTATTTAGGCCCCTAATCCTTGTGCAGCCAAAGCTCGCGCCAGGATTCTGACGATTATCGAGGCGGGGCGACAACAGCAGAAGCCTGCTGGGGAGCTTTGGAAAGGGTAATGTGAGGGTTATCTGGTGAACTTAAAGTTAAGGAGATACAGCGGTCATAAAGGGGGATATAGTAGGATGTGGCGCTAAGGGTTGAGGCTGAAGCTACCGCAGTGGAGAAACAAATGGAAAAGAACCTTAAAATTACATTGAAAAGTGGGGTTCCATGGGGGTTGAGGAGCTGAACCCAAGTTGGCATAAGAAGGGAATGTTGTGCGTGATTTGGTTCCTGTATGTCTAAGCGCCTTAACCGAGACCCAGGCTTAGAATTGAAAAGGGCATTAGAATACCACATGCCCTTCCCGAACTAGATTCCGTATGGCATTAAGTGCCATCCTGAACGACGTTGTCAAAACTTGAGTAATCAAGCAGTACCATCTTTACAACCATGAGATTGTACGTCAGGACCCCGTTTCTAAACAAACGGACCCTGCATTGCCCTCGTCAGTTTCAAGCTTGTCCATTGCTCGAATACCATGGTAGTTTCCCAAAATTAGGGGTACCTTCCTAGGAGTCCCAATAATAAGGATTATAGTATTTGGGGGTCTATATTGGGGTCCCCTTATTTTGGGAAACTCCCCCATTGCGCAGCTAAACTTTGTTTCTTAGTCCTCACCCCTCAAGTCCCAGAAGCAGCACATGTCATTGCTACTGAGTTCCAGCGCAGGCAAAGATCCCATCAGTTATCATGAGTTGATGCAAGCCCTATATCAACCCCCAATGCCACCCCTGGTTTCCATTTCTTTTGCGTTTGATTCTTTTTTTTGGGGGGGAACCCTAAACCCTAAATCCTAAACAAACTATGGTGGTGAGTGAGGCTGTTGATCCGCACGCAGTTGATGGGTGTTAGCTCGATTTCAATGACCAGGAGGGGGATGTGGGCCTTGGGTGTGAACTGGAGGAGGACCAGATTTGCTGGGCCCTGCCTTCGGCCAGAGAACTCTAGGTAAATGTTTCAGGGTTTAGGGTTCAGGGGTTTAGGGTTTAGGGCTGGGCATGGCCAGCCGTAAATCGGTTCTTGCCTTGTCGAAAGACATGTGTGCTGCCTGCGGAGAAAAAACATGATAAGCAAAACTTGACTCTAAACCCTAAAGTTACAGGGGGTTAGTAGAGAGTAGGGGAAGATATTTGGATTATATAAGGATTATATGCCCTTCTTCCCTACTAACCAGCAGTAAGAAAACCCTTTCACCCCTAAACCATGGTGCAGGAACAGGCTCCAAAGGGGCAAGTGGCCATCTCTACAAGGGACAGCCGCACGCTCAGCGTAGCGTAGCCGGCTATCCTCCCCCCAACAAACACTGAAGCCTCAAGAGCTGTCCTTCAAATAGGAAAGACGTCTCTAAAGGAATCTACAGACATTTTCTGCGGTTCCATGTTGGTCTGCAGGCATCTTTTGTGATCGTTTTGGTGGCCTTTAGCTTTTTGAATGCTTGGCAGCACGTCATCCCTTTGCGGCCGCGTTGTTACACGTTGAAGGTTCAGTCGTCTCCGTCATCCAAAACGTCTGAAACAGATTGCCTTGAGCTGCGTGTGGGTAAAAACCATGAAGCTCGCACGGCTGCCTCGTGCTCATTCGGGAAGGAGGTAATGGATCCCGATGGTAGTCCTTGTACCACCCCTACTGTCATGCCATAATCCAGTCCCCGGCCAGATGAAGATAATGTGGTGACTGTTTTGCAAAGCTTCGATCTCACGAAGATCAGTCAGATCGATGATGTCTTTAAACGGGTCCGTGATTCTTACGTGGAGTGTTAGAGGAACACATAAACAACCAGCTAGCCCTAAACCCTGGGCTAGGGGAACACGTAAACAACCAGACTAGCCCTACTTCTTAGAGTCTTAGATCTCCGCACCCTGAACCTATCACAGGTCCCAGCCCATACGCTGGGCCCTTAATTGAGCTTGTAGGGCTTTATAGGGTATATCACAGGTATAACGGAACCCCAGGATTCAGGGCCGATGCTAGGGGCCCATACTTTGGACCTGAGATTTAAACCTTGAACAACCCTAAACCCTAATCCTTGAAGCCGAAACCCCTAAACCCTAAACTCTAAATTGTAAACCCCTAAGCCGTCTGACTTCCGAGGAAGCCTGGTTCCAAGGGGAAGTCCTCCACGAAGGTGTGGTTGAACTGCTCTATAGGGTTTTGGGGTTAGGGTTTGGGATCCGGATTTTGGGGCTTCGGGTTTAGGGCTATAGGGTTTGGGGTTTGGTGGGCTCATATCAGGGTTTCCCAAGGTTTAGGGTCCTGAATAACGAGGAAAAGTATCCTCGTGTCCTCCTCATAGCATTGTAGAGCCCGCCTGAGCCTTTTGTCCACAAATCTGTACACGAGCGCATGAGAGAGATGCGCACGTTTTTTGCGCTGATGGGGCTATCCTCCCCTGCATCCCGAAAAGATGCAAATAGCGCAACATGTAGGTTGTGTTGGGTTTATTTAGGCACATGTTTTTTCGACCGGAGTGTAGGGTGGGTGTTGTAACGAACCCTATGGTCATCAACATGGCAAGGGGGGTGGAACCCGAAGTAGGAACCTAAGATTTCAGGCGACCTTTCTAGGTCCCGATTTTGGTCCATCCGTTGTGATGTAGTGTACCCAGATTTGGGGGCCCAACTATTAAGAACCAACCCATACAAACCCTAAGCCCTATGCCTCTGTAAGCCCTCAACCAGGAATCCTAAAACCTGACATCCGAACTCCTATTCTTCTGAAATTGTTCAAAGCTACAAGCTCTAAACCTTGAAGCCCAAGCAAAAGTATGACCGGTCGAAAGGCCGACTTATAGCCATGGTGGGACAATTTGGGCACCCCAAGCCAGCCCCCCAAAACCCTGGGGTCTCCGAAATCCTCTCATCATCAACCTCCCTAGACCCCAAACCAAGCCGATCTAAATCATGTGGGGTTGGACTGCTTCTGGCAGCATGGGTGCGAAAAAGAATCCCCCACTCCCCTTCCTCATCATATGGGAGTGCTTAACAGGGACCCCACACATGCATCCGCGAACAGCAGACCCTGAACCCAAACCCTGTAATCCCCTGTGTCCCGGAACATCCCGGGAATCCGGGTCTGAAGGGTATCCCTGCTTCTAGAACTCCCTCAAGCCTACTCCTTACACCCTCCCCAACCAGGATCCATAAATCCAAAATTCTTCGGTATATTAGAAAAGGTTCCCACACCCCAAGCCCCGGACCCAAGACCCGAAACTGCTCGCAGGAGGATGAGCATGCAGCAAGACCTCTTTCAGGCACCCGAAGCGGAGTTCAGAGTTTCAGGTATCGCGGTTAAAGTTTAGCGTTGGGGGTTTTGCACAGATGTCTGCACCGTTCTTTGCACGGCTCATTCTCAAGACAAACCCTTAACCGTCAACCCTTATGCTCCCTACCCAAAGGATCCGATGCACCCATATTGCGCATACTAACGCAAGCCATAATACTAATCTCAACCCCATACCCGTAAAACCTAACCCTGCTTTGTGGACTATTTTTTTGGGGGTTCCTGTTATACAACAAGGGTCCTCAAAGTTTCAGGGGGTCTTACAGCCACCCTAAACCCTAACCCTATTGCGCATATACACATATACAACCTTATTAGACATTTACATATGGTAGTTTCCCAAAATAAGGGGACCCCAATACAGACCCCAAAATACTATAGTCCTTTTTATTGGGACCCCTAAAATGGTACCCCTAATTTTGGGAACTACCCATATATACATGTCCCCCTCTCAGGAGCAGTACAGTACTTTAGGCCAAGTCTCACATGGGCAGGTTTGCACGCCAGTGGCGTACTGGACCTCAGCGCGTGAGTGGGGTCAAGATTTGCCGGGTTTCAGGAGGGGGGTTGCATAGGGGATCATGTAGGGCAGTACTCTAGGGGTTATCGAGGGGGATACTAAGAGTCTAGAATATTAGCTCACATGAAACCCCATAAGGCCCTATAGGTTCCAGGTGCTGTTAGGTTGGGGGAGTGGGAGGCTCAGCTGAATTGCGCTCGGAAATGCGTTCGAAGATGCTTCTCGCATGGTGGCTTTCGGGTAGCGTTTGGACTACTCCTCCTTCAGGAGGGGGCTTATGGAAACCCTGGCAGTAGCGGAATATAGAAGTTTGCATAACCAGCAGTGTTATGCCCTATAGTCTTCACATAATAGGCCTGCTATGGACAAACCCAGCTTCCGTTTCACGTTCCATTTGATGTTCCATTTCATGCTCCACCATTCTAATCCTCTAGGCCGCTCCTTTATCCTGCCGTAGCTCCAAAGAGTCCTTCACTTCTCAGGCAGCATTGCTCTACAGAGCTGTTCTTGGTTCCTACGTTTTGTCAGGCCAATGTCATTGGGTTGATAGCCCGTACAGGAGCCCCGCCAAAACCCAAACCCCCATTGGGGCCTATGGAATTCTATTGGGGGGTGTCTTGTTCGGTAAACCCTATGGCCCTATGATAATGTTGGGTGGGGCCTGAATGATTATGACTTTGATGGTCCAGGTTTCATGTCAGAATCATAATAAAGGGTAGGCAAACAGACCTCAAAACAATATTCGCAATTATTGAGGCTGCCAGAGTATTTTTGATGTAAACGTAATAGTCTTAGAGACAGGCCGCGCCAGATGTGCATGCACAAGTGAAGGAACTCCTGCCCGTTGCCGTCTCTTGCAGCGTTGTTTGCAGAAAGAATACGTTTTTCCCTGAGAAGCAAAAAGCCTGTCCCTGGTTCATGGCCTGCCAGTATGCTCTCGTTGCCCTGACAATTTCGATTCCAGCCTTCGCGTTGCGGACCGAGGTGGTGGAGGGGGCAGAGTCCTTAGCTCCCTGGCGGGACCTGCCCCTAATAAACAAAAAGCAGATCCAGGCGCAGCTGCTGCAGGATATTGCTCTTGGCTCTCTGCCCACAGCTCTCAACTCATCAGATCCGAAAGAGGACGCAGTTTTAACGCAGTTGCTGGAGGACATCCGTGTCTCCCGGGCAAAGGGAAGTGAGCGCGGAAGGTGCTGGGAGCAGCTGGGTGGTCTCTTGACAAGTCTCATTGCTGCCTGTGAGGATGCCCGGCCACACGAGTACCAGCATTCGCGCGAAGGAATCCAGGAGTACGGCATGTTCACTACATTCGAAATGGTGTATAAGCCCAAACTACCACAGAAAACCTGCGAAGAAAGCGCCGCGGACATCTTCATCTTTGGACAACGATTGGTGGAAGCCTTGCAGGTACCTTTACTAAAGGTGGTGAACGATATATGGTCACACTCAGAGGAGAAGATTTCACCGGAGCTGGCAAAGCTTGTTCAGAGCCTGCTCCTGGGACTTTACTGAGGAACACTTTAAGTGGTTCCACCTGGCAACTAATACGATAAAGCTACTGAAATTCAGGTAAGCGGACCCTGAATCCTGTAAGCCCAAAAAGGCCTAAACCCTAAACACCAGATTTGATGAGTGGAGCCACAGGTACTTCCTGCGCAGCTGGCTGGTGCCCTTGGCCACCCCCCGTGTTGCATCTCTACTTTGGGCTGGCTTTTGGGATGAAGATCCCGAGAACCTTACCGTTTAGGGTTTAGGGGTTTAGGGTTTAGGGTTTAGGGTATTACCGGTTTAGGTTGCATTGTATATCATAGCTTCTACCCCTCAAAACCCTGAGACAAGCAAAGAGGCAGATGTACTAGGTAAGGTTTGGGGTTTAGGCGTTTAGAGGCTTAGGGTCCAGGAACCTTTCGCGTTCGAGGGGTGTCCTGAAAATTCTTTTATTGTAATACACAAGCCATTTACACGAAAACCTGCTTTTGGAAAGTCCTAAACCCTAATTTCGGAAAGACCTAAACCCTAAACCCTCTGTTCTTGGAAAGCCCTGAGCCCTAAACCCTCTTACAAAGCCCTAAACCCTACGAAGCCCTAAACCCTAAACTCTTTTGAAAAGCCTTAAGCCTGGATCCTAAGCCCAAGGAACCGCACGACGCTTCAGGCGCTCTTTGACTTTGCAAAAGCCACGGACCATCAGACCGTGCACCCATCCACCGAACTGGGTCGACTGATAGAGCCTCACATGAGCCATAATCTAAACTCCTTAAAGGGGGTTATATAGGGGATTATATAGGGAATTACTATAGGGGTTATTAAGGGGGATACTAGGAGTTTAGACAGTGGCTCACATGTTTAGGGTTTAGGGTTTGAACCTCTAAAAAAAGGATATATAGGTGGGGAGAATGGAAAAGGAAATGAAAGCAACGAGCCCGGGTTTGGGGTAGATCCTTGGAGATGACTACTAGTTCGAGTTGGTTTAGGGTCTAGCGACGTATATAGTATATTATGACCTGGACGCTGCCTTCGTTTTTGGGGTTCTGTCGTACACATTCATAGGGTATATCCCAAAAGGACATCCAGGATCCAGGTAAAGATAAAGTGGAAATTATTGTTAAGGGTTTACGGCTTTTGGGTATTAATCTCCTACTAATGGAAGATCGAATGGGAAATCGAATGGAAACTGGCGTTTTGAGGGACATGCGGTCATGATGTGCGGATATAGTAAGGTAGTACTAGCTAGAGCAATACAGTCCGAGAGCTATATAGCAGTGCAGTAGTAGACCTAGACCCTCCAACTACCCTAATTATCTTCAGGTCTAAGTACCCGCTATTCGGGGCCATACGACCTCACAGAATATTATTTCTAGTAGGGTCCTGGTAGTAAGTAATCTTGTGCTTGTGATAATAGCAACAGATAGGTATTTAAGGTAACTGAGTAGGTCGTCGTAAACCGCATGGGGCACATCGAGACCAGGTGATATTAGCAGGTTAACCCCTGAGCCTGAAGCCTAAGCCCTCATCCATAAGCCCGAAACCCAACGCAATATGTTCCATGTTCTCTTTATGATCCCTAGTAATCCAAAAGAGTAGTTTCAACCCTAAGATCCTAAACCCTAATCCCTAAACCCTAAACATTTGTTTGCATTTTCTTTTCCATCAACCCTAAATAAGCAGTTAAACCCTTAACCCTCATCCCTACACCCTAAACCTGAATCCTAGTTTCAATTGTCTTTGCCAGTATCCCTGTAACCTTTGAGGGCCCAGACCTCAGCAGCTCCGAACCCTAAGTTCTAACCCCTAAACCCCTAACCCCTAAACCCCTATAGTCCCCCTGGAGTAGATAGAATATGGGGTATATGGGGATCTTCTTATAATATACCCCAAAACAATATTCTATCTACTTAAGGGGGACTATAACCCCTTAACCTCGAAACCCTGAACCCTAAACCCTAAACCCTGAACCCTAAACCCCAAAGTGTTAGGAAATGCATGGTCAGCTCCGCCAGTGCTATGGAAGCGAGACCAGGAAATCAAGGGTTTCAGAGCTCTTCCCCTAAGATTTAGGGTTTTTGGGATTTAGGTAGGGCTTACTGTCTAGGATTTAGGGTTTAGGACCAAGGTAAGGTTCAATGTTTCGGGCTTAGGGTTTAGGATTTAGGGTTGAGGGTTGTTCGGTGTGCTTCATGACTTTCAGGGTTGTACCCCTAGGTTTTGGGATCCTCTAAATACGTCCTGTTAGCCCTATAGCGCAGGCCATAGTGGGGCAAACTTGTTAGGGTTACGACCTTGCGGGCACGAATCTGGAACTGTTGAAAAACTTTAAGTTTGTACCCTTAATGTTTGTAACCCTATGTTTTGGGTCTCATATCCCCTTATAAAGGGCCATATTCCATGGTGTAGGGACCCAAACCCAAGGGTACAAACCCTAAGGGTACAAAGGAAAACTCCCTGAAACTGTTGAAGGAACTTCATGGACAACATGTGGTCCTTTGTCAGCATGGCCTTTGTCTTGGGGATGATGAAAAAGGAGCAGGGCTCAGTTGTGGCGCTGGTCAACAAAGCCCTGGAGGGCCCGCGTGCCCTGCACAGAACCCGCATGTTTTAGGTTTAGTTTGGGTACTGCCCCCCCAGTAACAGTATATCAGGGGTCCTATTAAGGGCTATATATAACCATATTATACTTATTATCCAACTGTTACTGAGAGGGGGCAGTACCCAAGGTTTAGTGCTTGTGGCTTCCAATTTCCCAGTTTCCATTCAATTGTCCATTTTCGTTTTAATTTGACGATTCATTCTGGTGGCATTTCAACACGGGCCCTTTGCAGGTAGTTCCCCAAATAATCAATGGTAGGATTCCTAATAGATCAGGACCCCCAGAATCCCCTCCGGATCCCCATGTTCTTACATTCCCTCTGGGGCCCCATTTTGAGAAGCTCCCATACATCCCGTTCGGAGTTCCTCAGGTGCCCTGCAAGAGTCCGTGCTTTTCCAGTACGAGCTGCCGACAGTGGGCGTGGCTGCTTGGGGCCTCTCTGCTTGGTCGCCGCAGGTTCTGGTTCTCGACCTGCGAGGTACCTGCAACTTGCCGTTATTAGCAGGGAAAGACGGACACGACTGTTTAGGGCTGAGGGAACGAAGGACTGAACAGAATTTCATGACCATACAAGGCCACCATAGGATCCACACCCCCTATGAAACGCTAAGGCAACCAAACTAGCCCAGCGCTGCGCGAGCAACTCTTCGCGCGCTTGATGCCCTGGTGGCGAGAACAGCAGCAGCTAAATCATTCTGTTGAAGACTTCGTACTAACGCGGCTCGAGATGCGATGCGTAGCTTGCCTGTCCATTGGGCCATTCTTATGGGGTTTAGGGTTTAGGGCATCCGATACTGCTTACTCCCCCTCCCGCAATAGAGCGCGAATGAGGCCTGTTTAGGCCTTATAAACGGGGGAGGGGAAGTAAGGGGGGCTGTAGTACAAGATACCATGATGTTAAGCC